CCGCACCGGGCCCGCTCCTCCCGACCGGGATTGTCAAAAGCCTCCTGTTCCATCAGCTATCGACAAGGTCATTCCCATACCACGACCCCTCACACCGCCATTTTCGGCACGCCCCTACCTGCGCTGTGCTGCGCTGCCCCACCGTGCTCCTCTGCTGTTCCATCCACCAAGGCCGGGGACTGTCTCCACAGGAGGACAGAAATCAGCGCACAGAAAACCCCCCCAACAGGACACCAAGTCACCTTTTCACGGACAACTGTAGAGGATCACCAGCAACAAGAGCCTCACAAACACAGTAAGCACCCATCTATTCTAGTGCCTCACGGAGAGCCATCGATGAGGTATTATTTGTATGTGCCAAACACTGCATGCTGTAGCCAGGCAATTTCAAGAGAGCACAAGGAGTAGGCAATCCACTGATCAAAAACTGCCAGGAACAGCTAACCAGACAAGACTTAAGCAGAAACACTGTCTGGGCAAGCGAGGAGGGAAAAAAAAAATAAATTCTGTGAATCACATTTTTTACACATTGTCTTTATTCAAATTTTTTTTGAATAAAACAAAGGCCTTCATGCCACAAGCACACAGGCACCACCAACTTCCTTGATCTTCTCCTCTGCTCTTCTACTGAAGAATTTTGCTTTCACAATTACAGGCTGCTTGGGCAGCTTCCCCTTGCCCAGGACTTTGTAGTAGCCCTAGAAAGATTAAAAAAAACCTGTTAAGTTTGTAATCAGCTTACAGGCCCCTACACTGAAACCTGTCTTTCAGCACATGCCAGTTAACACCAAAACCATGGCCACCATGACCTCACTCAGTGTCCATCTCCAATATAAAACTGGTACAAATGAAGGAAAAATTCCCTGCAATGGGGCTGCATTTGCTCAGAGAAAAAGCACAATCTGTAAACTGAACTTTTTCTGTCATTTAGAAGCTGGATTCCCCCCACTCCATACTCCATATACAGAAAACGCTGAAATCTGGCAAGTCACCAACCTTCTCCCACCTTTCTGAAGGGGAGAGCAGTTGACTGCACTTCCAAGACTACCCAATACCCAATGACTTCTGGCCAGTGCTCTTTACCTGTAGGACATACTGCAACTGCTGAGCAGAGCAGAGGACTCTTCTGCACATCAACACACAACTGAAGCTGCGGCCAGCTTCCACAGCAGTAGCTGCTCTCTACCACTGGAACTCTCTCATTTTATTGCCGTCCTTTACATTAAAAGGATAATCGTGGCACAAAGTCCATTAATACTACAGCCACTGAAGTCACCACGTGCAGGTGAAGTGCATAGCTGGCCAACACAGGTATCTTAATTAGGGAGGCAGAGCATACCCGCTTGGCAGACAATTAGTGTCACTGATTCGGTGACTGGCTGAGACACAAGACATCGCAGCCAGTGAATACGCATCAGAAGTTTATGTCCGAGAACTATAGCACACCAGGACAATCAAACATGTGAAGATGTGACTCTAGTCTCGATACTGGAGAGCTGACTTTATAGAAATGACAATAGTTCTGCCATATTCTCATGCATGCTTTGCAGTATTATAAACAAGTGATCTTTCACTACCTTCCAAAATAAGGGAAGTCCCTGTCCACAATCACACACAACCATGAGAAAGTTCTTACAGGAAAAAACGTAACAGCTTAAGTGCCTGTGCAAGTACTTACATGCAAAGACATCTGTCTTAAGCAATTTACAAATACCCAAGCACTGCAGCTCATCTGCAGTTTTCCTACTTGGGCAGACCCAAGCTGGGTTACACATGAAGTGACCAGGAACTGAGGATGTAAATATAAGCAGAAACTTACTGAGCGCACAACATCAATGACCGGGGCCAGTCCAGCCTCGTTCTTTGCGTAGTTGAGCCTTGTCTGTTCACTAACAAGCGTCCATAGTTTATCCAAATTGACAGTAGGACAGAACTTTTGGTTTCTCTTCAAGTGATAGTGCCTCATACCTACTTTTCCAAAGTAACCAGGGTGACTGTGAAAGAAACACATTCCTCATTAGATCGTATTTTTTCATCATCCTAAACAGGCAAGACTACAAATCAACACTGAAACAAGCATCTTAGTCTATCAAGGCAATCAGTATGTCACAGTACACTTTTATTCACATTAACACACGGATTATGTGTTAACAATACACGTGTTCTCAAGTGTAATAATCATTAGTACCCAAACCAAGGGAAAGTTATTTTCTCTTGCAGTGTTTGTTCTCCCTTGAACTCACAACACAAGCCCCCTCACTGGCGAGGCTGGCCCAGTCCTGTATTTCCTAGGCAATGCCATCTGTATGAATGCAGAGAGAGCTGCAGTGCCCGAGGAGTTTCAGCACTCCTGTCACTAACCTGGTGACTGACTGAGGCAAGAACAGTCACAGCCAGTGAATATAGATTAGTGGTTACTGTTCGAGTACTCTAGCACACCAGGACAACAGGCAGTGTCCAGATGTGACTCTAGTCTCGGCAATAAGACAACATCCCTTACCTTTGCAGTATGCAGCTAAATAAGATGGAGTTTGGATTGAACATAACATTTTGAATTTACATAGCATATGGTGTGTGCAGTTTAGCAGGGATCACATTGTAACAAACAAGTTTGGTCAAGTTTACTGAATGCTGCACTGAATGCTTCAAGACGCCTGGTTTAAGTGAAAAGGTCTTTGATATTAGGGTAAATGGGAACATGAGTTGACTGTAGCTATAATGCCACACTTCATGTTAGAGAAAGATATACATAAAATTACAGGGAATTTTGTTTATTCACATATAAAAGTTAGCTTTTTCTACTTCAGGAACATACACTTTGTTAGCATATATTTAAAATATTAGCTTACTATTTATCGAAGTTGATCCTGTGATGGTGCATACCACCAGCATTACCACGGCCTCCAGGATGTTTCCTGTGTTTGCCTAGAAAGAAAAACTAAGTTTGTTACACTAAGAACGTTATACATAACACTCGAGCTTAGAAGTACACATACTGCCAACCTAAGGGAGTTATTCCGATTCTATGCCCTCTTCTGCATCATTTTAGCCCAGCAAGATGAGCCAACTCACCAACGCGGCCGTGGCCGTGGCTAACGTGTCCCCTCAGCTTCCGGGTCTTCCTTAGTCTGGAAGGCTGCGGGAAAGCGGGAAAGCAGCTGTGAGCACAACGGGCGTCAAGAGGCAGGGCTACCACCCAGCCACCCTGGGGCCGACACTGCTCTTGAGGCCACAGCCCCCTCAGCAGTCACGCAGCCCAGGCGCCATGGCGGCCCCCGGGCTCGTCAAGGGAAGGGCCGAGCGGCCTCACCACACCCTAAGAGGGCCACGAGCTCGGGGAAGACTGCTCCCCTCCACGCTCCGCTACCCCTCAGCCCCAACCCATCGCGGCAGCAAGGGGTGCGACCACGGAGACCCCCGGCCCAGCCCGGCCCGGCCCTGCCCAGAACGGCCCCGGCGACAGCACCCACCATCTTGTCGGCGTGCGCGACGGAAGAGAAAGAGCGCCGAGCTCGCGAGAGCAGGACAAGCCACGCGGGGCCGGGGCGGGGCCGAGCTCTCGCGGAGGAGGGCGGAGTCTCGCGAGATCCGTCGCGGCGCGGGGAGCTGTTTCCCGCCGGGGCTGAGGCAGGGGCCG